GGGAACCCAGTATTCTGCTCTATTGTAATGGACAGGGTATCATGTTAACAAATAGACTTCCTGGGGCTATCAGATGTGCCATCTTTTTATAACACTTAAAATACTTCAACCTGGTATACATGAGTCCAACACTGAGTTTCATAAAAGAAGAAATAATGTAGATCTGCAGAGACCCCACAAAAATTCGACAGCATTAGCAATAGCATGCTGGTTAAGGGGGGAAATGGGGCAACCCTGGGAAAGATAAGCATCTATCATTACATCTTCTATTATATTTCCAGACTCTACTTCCAGAGTTTTAACTACTATTTTTGGGCATGATTCCTGGCCTCTTTCAGTTCCTTCTTCGATTTTTGTCTCTTCACCCCATGAGATGGCGATGTGCATAGTGAGAGGCACTATGGTGCATGGGCTCGAGTCAGTTTACCTGGGTTCAAATGCTGACTGTACCACCTTCATGATTAAGCTATTTCTTTGCCACTCTATGCCTGTTTCCTTACCTGCAATGGGTTGGTGCTATCTCCTATGGCAGCTGTAAGCAAGTTGATGTTATGTAAAGCTCCCAAAAGAGTGCCTTGCACGTAGTAAGTTCTCAGTATGTTATTATTTTTCAACTGGTAGGCAGTGTTTCTTGGATACTGAGTCTACCCATGCATTCAGCTAACATATTTTTATTGAACACTTATTATGTGCTAGGCACTGGTTAAGATGCTTAAGACACATCAGTGAACAAATAAAAATCATTGCCCTTGGGAAGCTTTTTTTTTTAGGTAGATGGAGACAGATGACAGTCAATGAATATAATAACTAAGTGTATTAGAGAGTGATAAATGCTATGGGGGAAAACAGAATTAGGTAAGGAGATTGGCTGATATTTAATATATACATTCAATGTAATATTCCTAAAATAAAACTCACATTTCCAGGAAAATTAGATTCCCTTCTTGATTCCCGTTTTCTGATAAATCATTCTGTTTCCCAGATTAAACACTCAGCCACCTTAGTTTCCCGTTTTCTCCATAACCTGCCATTAAATCCCATGTTTTTCTTTCACAATGTCTCGTGAACCTATCCTGATTTGAGCATTTAGGCCTGGGTTACTGCCATAGCCTTCCTAACTAGCCTCTGCTTCTGACCTCTCCCTGCTCCGATCCATTCTGCACTTACTTCACTTGCAGAGCAATTTTCCTAATGGTGCTTGATGTGGTCTTCCTCTCTCTGATGCCCATGAAATAAAGGTCAAACTTGTTCCAAATGTTCAGAATCTGACTTCAACCGGTCTTTCCAGCCCTTTCCCACTCTCCCCTAAACATAACTTTGTTTCAGCCAGAATAATCTACTTTAGTGGATTCCCTCTCTGTGCCTGTTCAATGCATTATGTTCTTTCCAAACATTCTATTGATAGTTTTTCTCTTTGTAGAAGCTTTTGAAGTTGCAACCTTAAAATTCCATGTGGAATTATATATACTAACTTGACTTATGAAAGAATCCTAGGTGAGACAGTCTCACAAGGGAAATGGTGTGAAGCTGATTTCAGCAAGGTGAAGGTGCTGATGGGAGGGCTCACTTGATTTCCTGGAGAATCTATAACAACTAAAATTGTTTTGATACCTTTACTGTCCTTTACTCAAGGACAGAATACCAGCTAATTAGTTTACCGCCAGAAATGTGCAAGCAAGATTTACTTTTTCTAGACTGCCTGTCTTATAAATCCTCTTTGTTCTCTCAGTCCAGGATCCTGTCACAAGAGCAAACAATTTGTGTAAAAATAAATACGTTTTTTTGAAATAAGCACAGAAACTATTTTCTATTTACACTTAAAAAGATAGTTTTAATGACTCGAGATTAAAAGTCTTTAGAAAAGCAAATCCATTTTCTATTTCTGTTATGTAAAATAATCCAACAGTTCACTTAATGGAGTTTGTGTAAAAATTCCCTTGCCATTGTTGAATATCAAAGCATTTTTATAGTATTCCATTTCCTTCTGTGAGGTCCTAATCCACAGTGGGTTACCATCTTGATTTCTTAGTGATACTGTCCATTTGAGACTTCAAGCTGCCTGCATGCAAATGATTCGACCAATTTCTATTATTTTATATGGGTTTCAATAGCAGTGAGACACACATTTCTGCCAAACAAAATGCAGTTTCCCAAAGATTTCTATTACTTTAAATGGTAACCTTCAATTGTGTCAGTCTTCACACTACAGGACCTTCAATTGTGTCAGTCTTCAAACCACAGGACGATGTACCTCAAATTAAGAAATTACTTCACAACTATCACCAACCAAAATTATACATTTTCTTTCAGCTTTCAAGTTTCCCAGTGGCTGGCTGGTCTGTGGTTTATTTTCAGCTGAGTTCCTGAGCAGAACTAAACACAGGGTGCCTCTTAACCAACATGGGTTAAGGCAGCCCACCTAAAAAACACACAGCCAGCTCTGGTCAGTGTGGCTCAGTTGGTTGGGAGTCGTCCTGTGCACGGAAATTGAGCTGTGGCTTGATCCCCAGGAGGCGTATGGGAGGCAGCCGATCGATCTATATTCCCTCACAGAGATGTTTCTTTATCTCTCTCTTCTCTCTCTAAAAATCAGTTTTTAAAATCTTAAAAACAAAACATACAAACAAAAAACCAGCCTATTTTGTCTTCCCAATTTGTTTAGCTTTCGCTCACTATTCCCTGTGGACTGACTACAAAAGTGTGTCTATAATATGCACTTTTTTGTTCCTGTATTAGTTTGCTAGAGTTGCCGTAACAAAATACTACAGACCGAGTGGCTAAACCAACAGTTTATTTTCTCAGTTCTGCAGGCTAGAAGTCCAAGATCATGGTGTTGGAAGGCTTTTCCTCTGAAGCCTTTCCTTGGCTTGTATATTCTGGTCACCTTCTTAATCTGTCCTCTCAGTCTTTCTGCTGTGTGCGTGGATCCCTGGTGTCTGTGTCCAGATCTCCTTTTCTTATAAGGATAGTATTCAGTTTGGACTAGGGCTCACCCCAATGGCTTCATCTTAATTCAGTAGGCCTTTTCTCCAGATATAGTCACATTCTGAAGTACTGGGGAGTTAGGACTTCAACACATGGATTTTGGGGAAACACCATCCAACCCAAGTTTCTTAACAAAGAGATCCAAATTGTCATTTATATGTCTTAAAAGATTTTGGTTCTGTCTTTGGGGGAAAGCGTTATAGTGTCAAATTTATACAGGTCACAAAGGGAGGAAGAGTGACAGTACAGAGTTTGCCTGGAGTCCAGACATTTGATCACAGGCACCTAGTTTGCTCTACTCTCCCGGTTTTATGCATCATGCTCAAACAGCCCTTCGCTCCTCACCCAACAGAATGCTTGTGTTTGAGAGGGCAGGACGTTTGTGTGTGTAAAAATAAACATTTAATGTATTTCAGGTATCTGGCAAAGTATTTTACACACCAAGTCTGACTTCATCCTCACAAGTCTGAGGTAGGGATTAATTCTCCCATTTTTCAAATGAGGAAACTGGATCTCAGAAGTAACTTGCCCAAAGTCACTGAGCCACAAATTACGTCTGACTCCAAAGACCAACTACTTTGTAGTGTGGTTTCCTGGCTCCTATCCTTTTCTCAGTTGAGACTGTGGGTGCTGCAGAGCTTTTGCCACATCTGGTACTTTATCAAGCTATGGCCGTCAACATAGCATCTCCACTATGACACCAAAAGCACAGAAAACAACAGAAAAAAATAGGTGAGACTTCCTCAAAATTTTAAAAATTTGTGCACTGAAAAACACTATCAAGAAAGTGAAAAAAGCAACTCACAGAATGAAAGAGAACATTTGCAAATCAAATATCCAGTAAGTGATTAGTATCCCAGAATATATAAAGAACAACTAGAACTAAATGACAGCAAAAATAATTAAAACTTGGGCAAAGAACTTGAACAAGTATTTCTCCAATAAGTACATGAAAAGATACTCTCCACCACTAATCACTAGGGAAATACAAATTAAAACAAAATTAGATACCACTTCACACCTATTAGGATGGTTATTATTTAAACCAACTAAAACATAAAACAGTTCCTTAAAAAATTAAATATAGAATTACAATATGATCCAGCAATTCCACTTCTGAGTATATACTGAAAAGAACTGAAAGCAGGGGCTTAAACAAATAATTACACACCAATTTGATAATATTACTCATCACAGCCAAAAGATAGAAACAATTCAAATACCCATCATCAGATGAACAAAATGAAGTAAATACATAAAATGGATTATTCAGACTTAAAAACTAGTGATGTCCTGATACATTAATACAACATGAATGACTTGAAGACACCCATGCTATGCGAAATAAAAGACACAAAAGGACAAATATTCTATGATTCCATTTATATTAGGTACCTAGAATAGTCAAATTCAGAGAGAAAGCAAGCAGAAAAATGCTGGGGCTAGGAAAGGGGAGAATAGGGAGTTACTGCTTAATGGGTAGAGCTTCTGTTTGGGTGATGAACAAGTTCTGGGTAGTAGCAATGGTTGAATAATAATGTAAATGTGCTTAATATGACTAAACTATACAACTTAAAATGGTTAAAATGGTAAATTTTATGTTGTGTATTTTACAATAATGAAAAATGTGGCTAATGTGAGGAATTTTTAATTTCAATTAATTTAAGTAAGTTTAAAAACTGATACTTGATTCAGTTATTGGAAAATTTTACGTAAATTTGAAACATATGTAAATTTTATAGTATCCATTTAGAAGTCTAGAAAAATATAATCTCACACATACTTGATATGCCAACTTTGTTTTCAAGCCTAGGGCAATGTTAATATAGCTATATCCTTTCACTACCATGGGAAAAGTCTTCCATTTTACACCTCAAGCCTAATTTTACATTGTAAATTACACAGCCTACCTTTAAATAGTCTCCAATCACACGTAACTAATAAGCATCTAAATATTTATAGAATACCTACAGAAACACAAGCTGAATTCATGGAAGCATATATGAAATCAAAAGTACATGCTAATACCACCAAAATGGTTTTATTTTTGTCACTGACAACATGCACAACACTGTGATTGTATCATTACTTTGGTTTCTTTAAGTATTACTTAAGTATGCATTAAAAATATATGTTTACATTTAAGAAACGTAACATACTAAATAAGTCCTTAGTAAACATAACTCCTCAATATATTTTCCTGCTTTTTTCATACATAAATAACTTAATCTACAAGGTCATAAACAATTAAACTATTAACTTTAATGGTCTAAAAGTATATACAAATTTTGGAACTTGACAAGTGTTCTCTAATGATATAAATAACTACTTGCAGTATTTACAGTATTGATTAGCAAATAAATGACTTATCATCACAAGTTCTTATTGTCTCCCAAGCAATTCTCCCAACAGACCTTCCAGTGCACTTGGTAAAGATGCCATGCATTTAAAAAGTCAAATGTTCAAAAGACTAGATTTTTAAAACAGTACAGAAGGTTGCCATTTAAATATTACTAAGCCTTACTAAAATCATTTCAGTTTGTCTGAGGAACAAAAAAAAATGCTACTAAAGAGTAAATGTTTATACTATCATTTAAATAGAAGCTAACAAAGTCCAAAACAAAATCAGATTAAATTTGTATTAGTCCTGGGAAAAATATTCCATGGAAATTGTTACAGGAACAGAATCAAAACTTATTATGAAGCAAATTTTGATTAGTTAAAACTTTATAGTAAAAATAATGATACACAAAAATAATCTTAGAAGGAGATTACAGAACATTTGATCATTTAGTTTGTTTAATGACTGGAAATCTTTCTTCCTTCAGAAAATAGTAACATATTTGTTGAATGATAGTTCCTGTTTAGTGATTAGATAACCACTAGCTATGTACTGAGTTATTAAATAACCACCCAAGATATATCAGGTAAGCACTCAAATTATTTTTATGTAATAAAAAGAATTTTGCATGTCGAAAATGTTTCATTATTTTCAGAGTAAAAAACTAAGGGGAAAAACCATTCTCAATATTCTCATTAAATGATTCAATCAACAAATAATACTAAGCTAAGTACTATCATTAGTTTTAAAATCTAAGTTTCTAAAAGTTTTCTTTTTCAACCAATACAAAACTGATCTGGTTCACACAATTAACAGCCAGACAAACTTTATGTTTAAAAACTAAGTATTCTTTGTTAAAGAGATTAGAACAAATGTTTTCTGTGCTCTTAAAAAAAACAAGATCCTGATATACTTAATGAATCTAAATAAAAATTCACAAATGGTGGTTGAAATTCTGTCAACTTTCAGCCCAATGCAACATAAATCCATAGTAATTTTGCATAAACAATTTAAAATTAAAGTTTATAATGGAAATGTCAGCAGTCATAACTACTACATTACTACTAATGGGTTCCACTATACTACAAACAGGCACAGCAGCTGTGCACATCTGATAGACAGACTGCTTAGAAAATTAAAGCTATCAGATCTATAAATAAGGAATAAATACGAACACTGTAATGCCAAAGCATTAGCGCTGTTTAAAAAAGATGTGACGTAAACACATCTGATAGTCCTCTCTGTAAGCCACTTTTCAATGATTTATAAAGCTATGGTTTTATAATTCTTTTAAAAAGGAAAATGTTGCTACACTGCTGAATGCAGTAATTTCATTGTACAATCTTGACTACAATGCAATCTTCAAATCCTCTTGCAGAGCTTGACATCTCATTAGGATTTCTCCAGAAAGTCAGCTTGCCATATTTTCAGCAGCCTATAACAAGAAAGTAAGATTCATTATAATAAAACCATGGAAATAAATTTGTCAATACCACCCTATCATTAACAAAACGAATCCTCCCCAACATGTACCAAACCAGTTTTATCAGGATAATGCAGGGGTTTTCATTTTTGCAGTACATTAGAACTACCTTTTAAACTGATGGCTAGGCTAATAGTAGGAAATTATTTAAACAATACAATAATTGTAAAAACATATTACTATTTGAAAAATTAACCTATAGAAGATCTTATCCACATAGTCTATTAGTCTGTCTGTTTCTGCATGTTTATTATAGTGTGAAAAGGAATTAAGATGAAAAAAGACTTTTCTGTTACGCTAAGCTGGAGAAAAAAAGGGCAAAATAATCATAATGAACTCATGGCTCATCCTGCTTCACCTATACCACCAGCCATTACACTTTCCATGATTATTCTGTAGAAATTCCCAGACACTATATCATTCCATCAATAAAAATAAGGACTTAAGCCCTGGCTGGGTAGCTCAGTTGGTTAGAGCATCATCCCAATACGCCAAGGTTGCAGGTTAGATCTACTAGGTGGAAAAACAAATTGATGTTTTTCTCTCTCTCTAAAATCAATAAATAAAAATTAAAAATTAAGTTAAAATAAGGATTTAAACAAATTCTTAGTGCCAAATATAAAAATGTTGATTTTAAATAAGTTTAACTTCAGATATACACGGTAAACTTTTAATTCATTTACACTTCTACTTCCTAATTAAAATTTGCTTTTAAGTTTAGTCTAATTTCAGAAGTCTTTCATAAAAATTCCTTATGTATTAGGAAAACTACAGATAACTCAATCTGAAACATTCTCAGTCAACAGAACCTATCTTGTTTTTCTACATAGTTGGCTATTCTAAAATAGCTGTTCCCTTCTTTGGGTTTACTAAATTCACAAGAAATAAAACCTAGCTTGAAAATAATATGCCTTATTCTAAGAACCCTTATAGGTTCTTCTATCAGCTTTGGCCATGTACCCTTTAGGTACTCACTCTTTCATCTTCCTAATCCCATTCTCGGTATCATCTACTTCAAAGAAGACTTGAAATAATATATATAATTTTAGGATTTTTTAAATTAAAACACCTTAACTTTAATGCAGTTTAATCTGTCTTGTCCCATTCCATTTTCATACTAATTTTAGAGGTTCTCCTCCAAGATACAGATAATGTATCAAGTAGGATACACTGAAAATGAAAAAAGTATTTTCACTTAAACTAAGCCATCAACCATGTGTAGCATTCACATTATATGAATGCAGAACTATTTTCTATTCGAAAGGACAGCAATGCATCCTAGAGACCTATATAGTTACCAGATGGCCATTAAAGGCTCCAAAAATTTGTAAGCACTGGCCCTGGGAAAAACCAGTATTAGTAGTCTTCTTTTCCAAATTTTCCTTTTCTGCGCAAGTTTATTCCTTTCTTTAGGATGGGTAGGAACATTGGACTTAATCCCTCATTTTTCTCTCAAATTCTACTGTTCCAATGTCCTCATGCTGCAGGAGACCTTCCTACACAGTGAGAGATACATCACTCACCCTAAGATATTAGTAATAATACAGGGCAGTTAAAACAGAGAGAGCAAGGCTTCGTGTATAGGAATGCATCAATAATAGTATAATTCAAGGCACCATAGCACAAAGTAGAAGGTACAAAAAAATAGGTCTTGCCTAAAATTTCTAAAATTACAATATGTAAATGATTGCTTACCCATCAATAGTAGCACCGAGAAAACAATACAAAAACTCAGTGTCAATAAAAGTATCATTCATAAAAATAAGGTCTATTTTTAAAGAAATGCATCTAATCGATAGTCCTACTTATGCTGTGGGAGATACACATAAGGTGACCTATCTATTGCTGTTAAGAAACTTATCTAATTGGGTGACACACAACTAGCTTTTACTACAAATGATTTAAACAATATCAATATACAAGTCTGAAAGAAAAAGGCAAAATAATTCTAATTACTAGGATTTCGAGGTAAAGACAGAATGCAGCAGGAACAGTTTCTCCTTACCCTATTTTTCATACAAAAAAAATAAACAAAAAAATGCAAGAATAAAATTCATTAGCAGCAACCACACAAAAAAGGGAGAACAACCTTATGCTTATAACTCTTTACCAACCAGCCCCAACCCTGACCTAATAGTAAATAGAGAATAAACTTTAATCTAGAGAGAAGCAACCTGAGGAAGGTTATTTTTTAATTCAATAAAATTAAGTATAATACTTTTATTTTTAAAGTAGCATTTTACTATCTAGAATGCGTTCATTAACTATTATCACTGCTTATCTCTTACGTGATCTCTTATTTTTTTATTAATTTGAGAGAGGGAAGAGAGAGAGAGAGGAACATTGATCAGTTGCCTCCCGATGTGCTCTGATAGGGGGTTGAATGAGCAATTTGGGTATGTGCCCTGACCGGGAATCAAACCTGCCACCTTTTGGTGTATGGGATGACTCTCCCACCAACTGAGCCACATCGGCCAGGGCCTCTTGGGTTACCTTGAATGACTTTTTTTGGTCTTCTTTGTATCCTATGATTTAAATATTTTTAAATTGTGAGCATGCATTATTATTTTAATCCTCATCTAAGGACATGTTTTTCATTGATTCTAGCTAGAGAAAGAGGATGGGACAGAGAGAGAGAAACATCAATCAGTTGCCTCACAAATGCGCCCAACAGGGGATGAAACCTACAACCCAGGTATGTGCCCTGACTGGGAATCAAACCCAAGGCTCTTTGATGCACAGGACGACGCTCCAACCAACTGAGCCACCCGGCCAGGGTAAGCATGTATTATTTTTATAAAGATTATACAGATTTCAAAAATTACTTTAAAGAAAACAAAAGTTATACGTAGCATTTCTTCTTTGCTAGAAACTTTCCAGGATTTCCTCGCCACCTAGTTTTAATGGAATACTGGCATTCTGTTTGTAGATTGTGGTAGAAATGTTTTAAAAGGCTTTGTATATGCGTGAGACTGATCTTCCATTCAAATGGGCAACACTTTTTGTTTCTTCCTCCCCCCCACCCTCCTGCTGTCACCTTTTATCACCTCTATGCCCTCTTCTACCCCCACCCACCCCCTTTCCCTCCCACAATCACCACACTGTCAAATGGGCAACACTTTCTGATTTGTTCAACTTAATTATTGATTTTGCCATATCAGACTATGGCTTACTGGGTGTGAAATAAACAATATGCTCAAAACTATGCTAATTAGTTAGTTCTGAATCTTTTTCTTACTACCATGGGTTTTATTCTGTCTAAGAAAATGCTATGCAAAATACTTCTGTCAGTCTCTCTTGCACATTCTTTGCCTCTGGTTCCTTTATAGCACTCAAACTGCATTACAATACAAAAAACTCTACCTGTAAGCAACCTAATATCCATTCACAGTAGAAAACATAAATAAATTATAGTATATTTGTACAATGAAACATTATTATAGTGAAAAGGAATGTTGTACAACTACACACATAAGCGAACCTCACAAACATGTTAAATGAAAGAACCCAGTAAAAACATTGTGCTGTAAGATCCATTTATATCAAGTTGAAATGGTAAGATTCCATTTATATCAGTTTATAGAATTAAACTGCAGTGTTTAGAGATCCATGCTTAGTTGATAAAGCTGTTAAAAGAAAGTGTCTACCATAAAAATCAGGACAGTAGTTACTGGAGGGGGAAGCAGGAAGAAGTCAATGATGGGGGGAGGATAAGGGGACTTCAGGGTGCTGGCAATGAGTCGCACAGATATGCTCTTTATGATAAAAGAGCATATGTTTATGTTTATGTTTACCTTTTGTTATTTTAATAATCAAAAAGTTTAAAAAAGCACAAAACCAACAACCGAAATCACTGGAACTTATTGGAGAATAACTTAATCTGAGAAGGGTAAGCTACATATTTTATATAGTTCTGTTAAAGAAAAGCCACTTGATCCTTAGAAGTTTTAAAAAGGGCTAACTGGGAATCTCAGCATTCTTGTATGGTGAGTTAGTGCTACATAAACTTGGAAATAAAATCAGATTTTAAATCATAGTGTAAAAAAGAGAGGGAACACTTTTCCTGTTCCCAATCTCAGCAGTTAAAGGTGCTAAATTTGAATTTGACAAAAGATGGTCCTTGGGCCCATGCTGGCAATGCAGTCCAACTGCCTTCAGCAGTCCCCGGTCTGTGTGCCCTGCTGAGTCATTCTTCCCTTTTTTTGAAGGATAACAGCCGGTTAGCTCTCTTGGCCAATTTCCTGCCTGTGGAATGCCAGAAGTCTGACAGCCTTCCTTCATTTAGTACTGTACATGTCCCTTTCAGTCCAAGCTGGCAGTGTTTTGTGTTGCAACGGCTGATTGCATCTATGAACCCCACCTAATCACTTCACCAAAAGTTTCCCCAACCACACTCCTGTACTTATCTCCAGAATGTTCTATCTGGATAGGCTTAAAATTTTCCAAAGTGCTGGTTCCTTTTTGCTTACTCATTCCCTCCCCAATTTCTCATTCCTTTTACATTTTACTATAAGCAGCAAGAAAGTATCAAACTACACATTCCACACTTTGGAAATTTCCTCAGCTAAATATCCGAGCTCCATACTCAGAAGTTTTATTCTCCTTTCAAACAGCAGAACATAATTCAGCCAGTGCGCCTTCACTTTATAGCAAGGATAGTCTTTCCTCCAGTGCCCAAATGTTCCTCATTTCTGTCTGAGATTTCACCTGAAGCACTAATGTCCTTATTTCTCCCAATATTCTGTTAAAAATGAATACATATTCTCTACGATGACTGAAACTTTCTCTATAGCTCTCCTTCCTCTCTCTGAGCCCTCACCAGGATCACCTTTAACATCCATAGTTCCACCAATCGTCTTCAGGACAATCTGTTTAGGCTCTATCAAGTGCATTAAAACCTTCCAATCTCTATTCATTACCCAACTCCAAAACCACTTCCACATGTGTAGGCATTTCTTACAGAAGCACTCCACTTCCCAGCAGTAAACCTGTCTTAGATTTCTAAGGCTGCCATAACAAAGTACCACAAACTGGGTAATTAAAACAAAAGAAATTTATTCTCTCACAGTTCTGGAGGCAGAGGTCCAAAAATAAGGTGTTAGCAGAGCCACCTACTCTCTAAAGGCTCTAGCAAGGGATCCATCCTTGTTTCTTGCGGCTTCCAATAATCTTTGGCCTTCTTTTGTCTGTAGATGTCATCTCTCCAATCTCTACCTCTGTCATTACACGGCATTCTCCCCTCTGTTTGTGCCTTCACTTGATACTTTGTCTATCTGTGTCTTGTCTTATAAAGATAGCAGTCATTAATTCATTATGATCTCATCTTAATTCAATTATACCTGCAGAAATACTATTTCTAAATAAGGTCATATTTACTGGTACCGGACCTGAGCATATGTTATTTCAGGCAGACACAATTTTACCCATAATACAGGGAAAAATTCTAAACACAATTGGAGCCTACTAGGAAAGAAAAAGAGCACGGTCTATGACAGTAGTGATCTGAACGTATGCTACACTAGGCCTCTTCTGCTCTTCAGAACAACTTCTGATGGTGATCGAAGTTACTTTCATCATGTTTAAGATCTTTCATGTAACTTCATCATTAATCATTTTCTAAACAAAAGCATCTTTATTTAGAATGAACTAACAACTGTATCTCTACCTTTAGTGCTTCGGTGGCCTTGCGAAGTTCCTTAATAACTGACGATAAAGCTTCTGGGTTAATTCCTTGTTCACAAAGCCGTACACAAATAGACAGAGTCTCCATATCTAAGCCAGTATTCAAAATTCTTGAAATCTCAAGCAGAACTGAAAAAATAAAAATTTTAAAACAAAATTTTACATTTTAAAATATGTACAGAATACTTTTGTTTTTAATTCATATGATACTGCAAATACCAAAGAACTAGTATAGCATCCTTACATTTGGAAATAGGCATGCTATACTGTCTTGCCCTTACTTAGCTCTAGAAACTTAAAAATAAACTTACAACCTCCCTCCACACAACTGCTTTTTACATCTTGGTTTTTATTCCCCCACTCATTTAATATCTATCTAAAATTTATGCATCATTATCAGGATTATTCAGAACATTTCCCCACCTTTTATATTCTTTACAATGTAATTTAGTCAGTCACATAACATTACATTTTATGGAAACACCATACATTACTTAAAGTTAGGCAGCTCTCATGTTATCCCCCATTAAAATAATACTGCGGTACGAATCCATAAATACTAACTTAATTTTTTTTATTAGGATAAATTCCTGTAAGTGGAGCTGCTCAGTCAGTAATATATATTGAAGGCCTTAAAAATACTTAGAAACTTTTGCAATTTAACAGAGTGTTCGTGTTTGTTGAATCTAAGAAAAACAAAAGCTTATATTTTTAACTTCATTTTTGTAGTACTTCATTTTATTATAGTTTATAAAAGCAACTGTCTTTCACACGACAAACACTATCATAGAGAACCACAGGAAGTAAATACATTGGCCACAATAAACTTTGTTTTAAGAATGTTTTAAGTCAATGTTTAATGCATTATCTATTGTTTTCCTGTATCATTTTTCCCTTGGTATTATTCTTAGGAAGTTATTCCCCATGCAAAGATTATGTAATTTTTCACCAGTATTCTCTTCCAGCATGTGAAAGCTTATTTAACCTCCTCCATAAATATTTAAATATTTAATTCCCTAGAGTTTGGGTGGAAAATAGAATCTTTAACGTTTCCTTCCAGAAATACGTCAGTTGCCCAATACTATTTATTGAATGATCTATCCTTTACCACTCAATTAAGATGTTATTATTATCATATAGCAAAACTCCATATACTAAGGATTTGTTGTATGTGTATCTTGTGCCAGAGCCACAACTTTAATTATTAACTTTATATTGCATGTAGTGGGTTAAAGAAACCTTTGTTACCTTTTATTATTATAAGCCCTTTCATTCTCTCCATGAACTGAAAAATGTCAATTCCAAAGACAAATTCCATTTGGATTCTGGCTTGAATTGCATGAAAACTACATATTATTTTGGGATGAATGGACAAGTTAACATTATTAAATCACCTATTACTTTAAGTCCTCCCAAAAACTTTTAATAGTCTTCATGATGTTCATGAGATGGGCCTTTCCCAATTTTTCTTACCTGACATTCATTTTCATCTCTATGTAGTCACACTTTAGTTCCACCACAGATAAAATTTGAGTATTCTATTCAAATGGAATCTGTGGCCATACAACTAAGGAACCTAAGCACAGCTGAAATAAGAAAACTGACTGGAAGTGAGGCCTCATTCTCTCCAACCTGTTCAAAAAACACACTGGTTTCCAAACAAAGATATGACAACAATGTCATATACATAAAGTTTCTATGTACATAAGTCCACTTACAAAATAAAGCTAATAAGTTGTGATTCATTAAGAAGGATGTGAAAACAGGCTAAATATGGTGTTAAGAACAGAGTTCTACCTTTCAGAGAAACAGAAAGGCAAATACTTGGTAAATAAAACATTAGATGAAAAGGCTCTAATAATATAAGTAATTCTTTGAAAAGGAAAGCAGCAACTGGTGCAGAAAAAGCCACACGTCGTATCTCAAGTCCCCTAAGGAGATGACTTAGGAAGTGGTGACTACACTGAAGGTGGCAGAGATGTGGCGGGAATGCTGACACTGCTTAGTAAGAATCCCATGAGGTTGTTTTCAGAGATAGAGGCTGATGTGGGTATCCCCTGGATAAATGCAAAAAGCAATGTTTAACACTCATCAAAGTCACAAAGGTAGACGTGAATAAAACGGAGAGAGACAAAGACATCTCCAAAGAGGATGACATCTTCTATTACACAAAACTAATACAGAATCGGGAAAGGTATCACTATAAGTCAATAAATGCAGCAACAAATAAAGAGAAGGTACGATTATAGTAATAGATACCAAAAATCACTTGAGCAAATACTGCTAATAAAGCATATATTTTAAAAAACAGAAGAAAGCGAAAAAAATGCAGTATCTGTTAATGATCACCTTCCTGGTTATCTTAAACATGCCCGTTATAACCCTAAGAGGTAACCTCATTTTTACAGAAAAAAAGCAGCAGGCTCAAAGACGTTTGAGTAGCTTGTCCAAGCTCCCCACCAGAGGCATAAAGCGGTAGAGCCGGCATCAGAGGGCAGAGGGGGTAACTCCCCGCAAGGGTTTTCCGTTCTCTACTGCGGGTGTCGACTTTCACCCGCGTGCCTCCGGGCGGGACAACAGGTAATACACCCACAGCCCCCGGGCACCGTCACGGCTCCGTGATGAAACTGGGGCAATTCCGATGAAGGGGCGGCTTGTTCATTCACTGGATATTTTAAAAGAGCCTACCCAAGGGCCAAGGACAAAAAAACAGCAGTGACCAAACACGGCCACTGTCCGCTCGGGGATTACAGTCTTGCTCGCAGTTCGGGACTCACAGGAACGGGCGCCCGCACTGGACGAGCGCCTCGGGCGGGACGCAGAGAGGGCAGGGTGGGGTGGACGAGGGGCGGGAGGCTGCCACGCGAACGCCGGGCTCGAGGACCAGGCGCGGGAGAGGGGCGTGGCGAGCGAAACGGCAGCCGGGAGGCTGGAGGCACCACGGGGTCCGGCGCAGTAGACACTCGGCACGCGTGGGGCTGACACAGGGGCCGAAACGACGTGCACGCGACAAACTACGCAGGAGCCAAGAGGCAACTCTCCAAACGGGGGGCCATCAGCCCTGCGGCCCTGGCGGGTCCCTTATGAGGATCTTCAAAGATGCCGTAGGTGGCAGAAAGTGGATCTGAACTCCTCCTGGGCTCCTCCCCGACTGGGAGCCTTGACTTTCGGAAACGGAAGCGAGGTAAAGCGGCTGAAACGGGCACTCACCGTCCATGGTCTCCCTCACCGCATTCAGATTCGCCGCCGCCGCCGTTGCCCCGGCGCCGCTACTACTCGCCATGGCGGAGGCCGAGGAGGCGGGAGAAGGGTCTGACCCGGAAGTGGAGCGCCTTCCTGTCTCCCCGGCAATCGCGGAGCGCGTCCCCCGCTCGCGCCCGACAGGCTCCGCCCCTCGCGCTGGTCGCCGGCGTGAGGCTGGGTTGATTTGAATTTGGAGCGTCGTTACTCAGCGCGGAATGTGAAGCGTGGAGTTGCCATTCGAATTTACTACGCCGCCTCCATGCGATTGGCTGGTTCGCGGACGGCGGTGCCACGCGATTGGGCGGTCGCCCAGAAGCCCCGTGCCTTGGTTGGCCTAAGACAGCGCGGAAGCGGGGAGTTAAAGAGTCTGTGCCCGTCGTGGGAGCTGGCTCGGCCCCTCGGGGAACGCTGGAGTCGCCTTCGGGGGATTTCCTTTTCATACACACCTTTAGGTACGTTCTTCATAGTTCCTGGTTTTTCTCCTGTCTCGAATTGGAGAGCTCACTTTTCCCGGCTTCGGCCTCGCGTGCCCGCCAGCCCCAGGATGAATGGGGGCAGCGAGGTGCCGAAGGGAGGGACACCCAGAAATAGTGATGGCATGGGGTGGAGGTGACACGGGCGTGAGCGGCCTCCCGTGCTCGTCACCCAAGGAAGCCAGCTGCACCTGAGCCTGCCAGGAAGTGGCTTCTTTTATTTCTCTAATTGTAGCCCCCTTTGACAGAAGGATGCAGTCTTGCCTTCTACCATGGGTGTCTTAGCCAAAGGAGGGTATTTGAGGAAAGGCAACCAAAGGCGGTTAATTTTCTCCCTCTAATCAGTCATACTTCTTTGACGGGGGCTGATTTGCCTGAAGGGCACGCCTGCACAGGCTTCATCGTGTCTCGCTTGCTGTAAATAATTGTTGTTTAGTAATTGCAGCTTGATAGGGAATTGCCGGGATATCCGAAAAGTGTTCAAAGTGTTTTAGAGACTTGATATAATGAATTAAAAGCTATAGGTATAAGTTCTGTAGTTGGGAGGAATTTTGTGCCTATTTTAACATTTGGTTTCCTGGGTGAAAGCAGACCTGAACTCATTCACGTTTGGTTAACTGCTACTACGATGCCACAGAAGCTCTCTGAGCTTGTTAATTCTATAAAATGATATCGCTAATACCTACTTCTCTAGTTTTCAGGGTAATTTGGAGGATCACTTGAGATGCTTTTTTGTAAACTATATTTTAAAAAGTTAATTTTTGTGAAATGTTTGTTGAATACATTTTAATTGTCAAAACCAATGTCTATGGAACTTTGTGGGTTTATTATATATACTTATGATTTCTTTTTAGTCTTTTTCTCTGTGCTATGGGAGATGTCAAAGAACCAAAAATGCAAATAACACCAGAAACTCCAGGAAGGATCCCTGTGTTAAATCCTTTTGAAAGTCCTAGTGATTATTCTAATCTCCATGAACAAACTGTCTCCAGTCCTTCTGTTTTTAAATCAACAAAATTACCAGTAAGTTGTTCTTGACTAGTAGTTACAAATAATCTTAAATATAAATATATTTCTTTACAAAGTAAGGGGAAATTTACCATAGAGTGTATGTTACTTTTTGCTTTTTTTATTGTAGTGTTCATTATAATCTGGTGGTTGGGCTAAAAATAAGTTAGCTAGATGTTTTTAGTTAGCATTTCTCTTTTTTTATTTAATAATATGTTTAGCTTCCTGTAATTGTGCTGTCTATAGTTGATGATATATCTGTCAATGCCATATTAGAGAAGAAGCTATGTCATCTAATTATCCACTCTCATTTATTCAGCAAACATTGTTTGAGTGCTAGACATAGAGGTTACGCTGTGTCATTAGACACAGGGTCATTAGATACAAACTCTCAAGGAGTTTATACTTTAATGCAGAGGTCAGCAAACTTTTTCTGTCAGGAGCCATACAGTAAATATTTTAAGCTTTGCTGATCATCTGGTTGCTGTTACAACTACTCACCTGTGCCTTGTATCACAAAAGTGGCCATAGGCAATATGTAAACATAAAAACATTGCTGTATTCCAATAAAGCTTTATTTATGGTTACTGAAACTTGAATTTCATGTAATTTTCATGAAATACTAATATTCTTTGGGGTTTCATCAACCATAGCCTGCAGATTGTATAATGGGGTAGACACAAGTAAATTAGCAACTTCAAAAGAATATGGTATGTGCTATCACTAGTGGTTAAGCACAGGGTGATATGGAAGGGAAAGTGCTCTTCTGGGAATTAGGGAAGGCTTCATCACTTTAGCTTATTTTAACTGTTATTGGCTACAATGGAGAATTTGTTTTGAAGTCCAATCTTGATTTTAAATCTAGTAAATTATCTAGAAAACTGCAATTTGGGTGGCTGTTTATGCTACACATTCATATCAGCTTAAATAGGTATGCACTAGAGGGAAGTTTTAGTTAAACAGTTTATATTGATTCATTAATCTTTCCTCATTTTTAATTGAATCATATTAAATTTTAGTTATCTGTTAGCCTTAATAAAAATAATGGAATAACTACAACTTAATTCTCAAAGCCAGAATGTATGACATTTTGGGTTTTTAAGCTTGAGTTTGTCAAAAATATATTCTGAATTACAGTTTGGGATTTGGATAAGAGTTTAGGGTAGTTGGGTAGTTGAATACAGAAAGAGAGCACTGGTAACTATTCATAATTATTTTAAGGATCAACTATTTTATGAGCTTTTGCAGGCATTTCTTAGTTAGGATTTTAATCTCAGTTCATTCTTATTGAAAGTAAAGATCTTTGGTAACTAATAAATTTTTACTTTTACATGGACATGACTGATGAGTGCTAATTGTAGATTTTCTATACCAGTAATACCCTCCTATGATTTTCCTATTATGTAATTTTAAAAATCACCCAGAGGGAAGACTGGATATTTTAAAAGAGATACAGTCAAGTCAGTAGTTAGTGTGATTTGATTACTACTTTCCATTTAATTTAGTGGCAAAATCAAATTTAAAAATAGGTGTAAGATATTTTTATATTATAACCATTCATATTATTTTTGAAGTTGACATTGGTTAGCATTTTGATGAATTATTTTAGTTTGCTTTTACTCATAAGTGCACTTTCTTTTGTTAAGACTCCAGGGAAATTTAGATGGTCTATTGATCAACTAGCTGTAATAAATCCTGTAGAAATAGACCCAGAAGACATTCATCGTCAAGCCTTATATTTAAGTCACTCACGGTAAGTTTTCCCTTCTTGCACCGAAGTATAATAACATACTCTCACATGAGAAGAGAAGGAAATTCCAAAGTTGAGTATTTTTATATGTAAAAATATCAAGGAGAAAAAATTGTGGTATCTAAATTTATCGTATCTAAATGAAGAGTGAGTACAAAGAACTACATCCAGAAAGGTTCCCCTGCAAACAGTTCCAAATATGGGTAGGAGTGCTTTTCTTTTAGAGGTAACCTCTCTCTGCTACTTATGGGACAGTTTTGCCTCCTCAGCACTTGGAAGAGGGAAGGGCATTTCTACATGGTTGTGGCTTCTCCCTTTGAATTGTTTTGTTTTTTTGGTGATATAGGGTAAAGCAAAATGCTGTTTCATTGCCACATGCGTTTAGGGAAGCCTAAAGATCCCCTTACCAAGTTAAAATACATTGAATTTTGGAAAGGTGTCTATTAGCAACAGAGAGCTTTTATAGACATCATCCAACTGACAAAGGATATTTGGGGATCTGAATTATATTGTCTTGAATTCAACCTAGTAATTAGAGCAACCTTAACTTCTTTGTTGATATATTGTGTAGGTAGGTTTCCAAGCTCTGACTTGTGCTGCTTGATGCCTTGTGTAATGAGAACATGCACTTCTTTGATGGAACAGACCTAGTTTTTTATTACAAATTGCAATGATCTATAATTACAAATTACAGATAACAGTTTCATTAATAATTTGAGGGACTCTTGTCATCAGTTTCATAGTCTAATTTTTTTATTTGAAAAACTTGAATATTGGTATACCAGCTTTTATTTTTTGGTCCTAAGATTCATGTGATTTTAGTCCAAAATAAAAGGTAATCCTTTTCTCTCTAGAATTCAGTCACACAAAGATGTGTACATGTTGAGATGCTCTTGCAAATATTCGTCTCCCTTTTGTATCCCTTTCACTCTTGGCTTGGTAACTTGATGACCATTCATTCCTAATTAAGTTATGTCCATCCAAAGTATTGTAGAGTGGGAATAGATGGGAATGAGCATAAAAGGGTTTTTTTAAACTTAAATCTAAATACCTTTGAAAGAGGTGAAAAGAATATCTAAGAGCTAATGAGTCACAAATGAAACTAATTTTTTATTTCACCCAAACTGTATACTTTATTTTGCCTCTTTTCTTTATATATGCAACCATGGAAAACTGTTACGTATCAAGTCAAGAGGTATTTATTGAGCACTAAGGCACTGTGAGGAACACTGAAGCAGTAAAAGATGTTATTCCTGTCCTCTAGAATGAACAATACCATTAACCAAAGTTGTGACACAACATTTCTATACTTACTAATAAAGGATGCATTTTCTGGATAAGTTTATGAATCTTGGTGTACATCAGTAGATATAGGAGAGGAGTAAAGAGTGGGAAAAAAACCTAATTGTAATTTAACTTACTGATGTAATTCAATGAATGGTTATGGCTTTCACCAAGGTTAGTGAACATACTTTTAAAACAGGTTGAGCTGTCTTAGCAATGACTTTCAATGTCTCTTCCTGTCTAATTTAAGTTTCCTATGTCAATGCTTCCCACCCTTTTAATGCCATGTTACACATAAAAAAGTAACCGTAAGGCTACTGGTATAAACAAATGAGTGTGTCAATACAGGAGGTAAATAGTCCTCAACCCCTTGTCCTCCAAGAATCCATTCAGGGCATACCTATAACCAATATGCATCATGCCAGTGTTCTGTAATATACACATAATGTCGGGATACTGTACCCTATTTTACTTCTTAGAACCTTCCATCATCTGACCCTACAATATTTAGCCACACTAATTTTCACTGCTTCCAGAGCAGTTACCTGAATATTTCAGATCCTTAA